GCCGAGAAACCATAGCAAAACACCGGTTTTTCAGGTTTTGGGGGATCTATGCGCTCCCAGGTGGATGGATGTGCAAAAACCTGAAAAACTTGAGAAACCTGTGTTTTACAGTGTTTGCTGACCCTCCGACCTGGAACACCTGTTTTTTACAGTGTTTGCTAACCCTCCGACCGAATGACAGAGCCCCCCAGCGGATGCGGCACGAGCAAGCTTCGACCATCCGTAACCGCTTTGGCTCAAGGTTTGATTGGTTCCGCGCTCCGTGCTTCGCGACACCATGGGGAACCCAAAGAAGGGGACACCCGCTTACGAGAAGAAGCTGCACAGCAACAAGGTACGCAGGGCCGCGAAGAGAGATCACGACCTCGGCAACAAACCAGCTGTGGCCAAGCTGGTGAGGGGGGCGCGCGCCGCAGCTCGCAAACCCTTGGTGGACAAGTTGCGCGACCTTGAGAGCGTCCTGGACGCGCGGTCACGCCGCTCCAACCAGCACTACAGGAATATGTACACCGCCCAACACAAAGCCGCAGCGGCAGAGGCGGTTGCCAACCACTGCAAGGAGCAGCTCAAGCAGAAGACGACCGCCCTCAAGGACGCGCGGGCGGAGCTGCGCGAGACGCAGGCTTCCTTGGAGAAGACGGAGGGAAAGCTTCAGAAGGCCAAGAAGGCGACCGAGAAGGCCGAGAAGGCGCTCGAGGAGGCCACAGCTCCTTGGGAGAGCTGGTGGCGGACTCTCCAGGTGCACATGAAGTACCACTTGCCTCCTTGGGCGGCCAAGAAAGTGGTGCGCTTGGCGCGCCACGGCCCGCCCCGCGGCCACGCCAACGACTTGGGCTGACGTGCGCCGCGCGCGGCCTCGACTAGCAGCCCCGCCCTGGCCTTTGGAGCGACAGCCAAAAAACACACACCCGCAGAAGGAGAGAGAGAGAGAGAGAGAGAGAGAGAGAGAGAGAGAGAGAGAGAGAGAGAGAGAGAGAGAGAGAGAGAGAGAGAGAGAGAGAGAGAGAGAGAGAGAGAGAGAGAGAGGGAGAGGAGAGAGAGAGAGAGAGAGAGAGAGAGAGAGAGAGAGAGAGAGAGAGAGTGAGAGAGAGAGAGAGGCAGACACAGAGACAAAGACAGAGACAGAGAAAGAGACAGGGACGGCGACAGCGACAGAGAGAGAGAGAGAGAGAGAGCCCGCTGATTGGGGGGATCCAGATTTTGGATGCCCCAGTCCGTTATCTTTTCCCATTGCTGTAGCCCGCAGCTTTGCGTTGGCTCAAGACCACAGGTGCGCCTCGCAGTCAACGTTGCATCGCGTCTCGTTGCGATCATGGCGAACCTCGTGGCGGGGGGCGTCAAGTCTCTGGGAGAGATGATCGCGGGGGACGAGTCCGCCACCGAGCAGGTCGCGCAGGCCTGGGGCTGCATGGACACTCTGAACCCGTACAGTCGGCTCGAGAAGCCCACGCGCTTCGAATCAGACCCGCCTGGTTGCTATCGTCTCCGAGACACGCCACTGAGAGACATCGACAACGTGGTAAAAGTGAAGCACGTCGTGGATTGGATCAAGATTGGAACGGAGTGCCAGGAGCTTCCCGACACAAGTGCTGTGGACATGGTCGACATCATGCGCCGCGGCGACTACGCGTCCTTGCCGTCTCCGTTCAAGCCGAAGAAGGACACGGGAGAGTTGGCGTTCACAATGCAGATCTACGTTCTGCCCACCGACCCTGATGGGGTGCAGTCTGTGCTGAAGTATATCAAGTTCGACGACAGTATTCGCGTGGACTTGGTGAAAGATGTGTTCATCGTGGGCACGCCGCTGACGATCCACTGGGGCCGCACTTCTGACACGAAGAAGGTTCGCAAGTTGTTCCACTTCATGATGGACCGCCTTGGGGGCGTGCAGTACCGATACTTCGTGCAGCCGTCCGTGAAGAAGGCAGCTGAAGCGGGCACTTACGACAGGATTGCTCGAACGGCTGGTTACGCCTTCATTCGCGATCATGGACCACGGAGCAATGCCCAGAACCAATTCGTCGAGTGGACGGATGATCAGATCCACCTCGAGAGCAGTCCGATTCTTTTTTTTTTTTTTTTCCTTTTTTTTTTTTTTTTTTTTTTTTCCTCCTCCCAACCCCCCCCTTTTTTTTTCTTTTTTTTTTTCTGTTCTTTTTCCTTTCTTTTTTTTTTTTTTGGTTTTTCTTTGCTTTTTTCTCCTTTTTTTCTTTTCCATTCGTTTTTTTCACTTTTTTCTTTTTTAGGGTGGGCGCCTGGGGATTTCAAGGACCAGGCGGCTAAAACGGACGTCGCGGCGCGTAGAGCGCGTCCCCTTCGCGCTGGGCGCAGACCTGAATCGTCGCGCCAGCCATCCTCTGTTCCCCTTTTACCCCCCCACCCTTCACCCAACCTCCAACCTTTTTTTTTTAGGGGAGGTGCTCGGGCGCGCGTCCGTTTGGCAGCCTCGCAGGAGAGCTTGCGGAACTACGCCAACGGCACCGTGGGCGCGCGGACGTTGATGTCGTGGTGCCACACTTTGAGGCAGTTCCATCCGACGATCCTGAACAACATCATTGCCCCTGCACTGCGCACTCACGATGTACATTCGATCATGTGGATCGGGAAGACTCGCGTCGGGAAGTCGTCCGCTTCTAAGACGACCTGCTTCGCCATCTCGGCTTACCAGATCGACAAGCACGGCCGCTCTGACCTGAAGCCGAGCGTCGTCACCTCCAAGAGGATTGATTTCTTTCGCCTCGAGCCAGGGAGCCTCTTCAAGCCCGCGATTGCCGACGACACGGTGATGTCGAAGTGGGGCACAGACGACGTCAAGGCGTTCCACGACCCGGCCGAAGAGGACGCCTTGCTCTGGGCTCGATGGGGCGGCGCGCAGTTCATGATGAACCAGGCGCGGCAATCCTGCGCGAACGCCCACGACAAGGATTTTGAGGCCCGCGTCCAGCCCGTTCGGCCTGGAGCCGAGGCAATCTCCTTTGACGATTTCGTCCGCATTATCCAGGCGAACTTTCCCCGCGACGCGCGGGGGTCGTTCGAGATGGCAGACGCGGAGGCGTACCTCGCGAGGAGCCACGTTGTCCTCCTGTCGGACAAGCGCATTTACTTCCGCCTGGCTTCCACGGACAAGGAGTCGGTGCCGTTTTTTGCCTGGCCGAACCCAGCCCAGCCCGACCTGTTCGTGCCCGAAAGCAGAGACACCATGAAGAAGTACAAGAAGGACCAGACGTACAAGCCGCCTAACTTCGAGATCGACTTCAAGTGGGGCCAGGCATTCATGCGGAGGCTTGCAAGAGGCGAGGCAGTGCAGCCAGCCGTCACAGTGCGAGGCCCTACGCTGTTCGACGCCCAGGCGCCAGACCGCTTCTTCTACCCTCCGATGGGCGAGGGAGCGGAGGCGCCGACGCGCGCGGCCCCTCCCCCTCTGATGGGCGAGAGCGCAGATGCGCCGCCGCGCGCGGCCCTTCCGCGCGGCGGCTGCCCAGTGGACTCACAGGACAAGGTCGACAGGGACCGCGAGATGGCCAAGTACCTGGGCGGTTTGGCGAGGGCGCACGACCGCGAGAGCATCGACCTCTTGAGCCCACCCAAGAAGGCCGCGAAGAGCTTCAATAAGCTTTTTGCGTCTTGTCCTCGAGACATCGACCTGGACGGCGCTTCCAGCGAGGACTCACCATCGGCGCGGCGCGCGCGCGCCGTGTTCGATGCCGCCGATGCCGACGAGGAGGCCGCGGCAGCGTTGGGGATCATGTCAGAGCAAGCGGAAGCGGAGGCGGTCATGCCCGCCCCCGCGCGACCAGGGGCGGCCTCGGACAGCGGTAATCTTCGCCCCGTCAAGTTGGAGCCAGGCGTCTTCGCCAAACTGGCGCCCTCGGGCGGCCCGCCGCTGATCGTCGATGACAGCGACGAAGAGGCGCCCCATGGCACGGGCGACGGCCTCTTCGGTGCAGGTTTCAAGAACTGTTGCATGGTCGACGCCCTGAACGCCCTCGGATTCAACGTTCCGTACACCCAGGATGGGCCGTTCAGCATCAACGATGCCGAGGCCATGATCGCTGGAGACGGGTGCGTGATCGCCCGTGCGTCCATCCGCGGAGCTTGCGCCGTGCCCACAGGCCGCTACATCGCAACGTACGGCTCTGCGCCTGGGGTGACGGGGCACGCCGTGGCCGTTCTCGTCTTCCTCGGAGGATTCATCGTGTTCGACGGTGATGTGCGCGCCTGCCACACGGGCCACGTCTCGTGGCATATCATGCCTGAGGGCGTGCGTGCCGAGGAATGCAATTGGTGGCAGGTTCGGGGTGCCTGAGTAGGCAGTAGGCGGCGCCAGCGCTGCGCCTTCGCCGCCTCCGCCGTGATGGCGATGCGCACGATGCAGCAGTGCGCATGATGATTCCCCGGCCCTCGCCCCCAGCGAGGCGCAACCGTGCAGGCGCCGTCGGGGACACACGAGACCTAATTTGTGCATATCGGGGACGGGGGGCAGCGCCTGTGAACGGGGCAGGGCGTTGCGATGGCCATGCTCTACTGAAAAAAGGCCAACAACGCTTGTTACTTTTGCCGCGGTCAAAGTTGCGACTGCGCGCGGTCGCAATTGTAGTCCATGTGTTTGCCGATCATGGTGTTCGGTCCGTAGCACTTTGGTTCAAACTTTGGCTTTGGATTGCAGCCTCGCCACTCCCATTGCCGTTCGCCTCGTCAATCATGCCTCATGGTGGCAAGGCCTCCCAGGCGGACAAGCACAAGCGTGCGCACCGCGTGCAGCAGGCTTCGTTGAAACGGAAGCCCGCTTGCGCGACTCTCCATTCTAAGAAGTTGTCTGGCATTCGCAGGGTGTCGTTGACGAAGGGGGGCCGCATCAGCAAGCAGTCGATGATGAAGAAGGGTAGGGCGGCAACTAAAAAGAGGCTCCTGGTCCATCCTACATTCCTCCGAATCAGAAACAAGCTGATCGCCCTTCTCTCGCCGCGCTACCTATATCCAAGAGGATCGCCGTGGTCGACATGGCGCGCATCAGTCCCGAGCTCCTCGCGCGTATCATGATAGAGATCGGGGTGCTACCAGATCTGGGGGGCGAGTGCACGGCGTGCCAGTGCGAGACAATGGAGTTGAAGCTTCGGGGCGGCCAGTCGGACAAGGACATCCAGGTGGCGGGCTTCAGCATACCTCAAATGGATTATCCGATTTGGCGCTGTTCCAATTGGGATTGCCAGAGGCGATGAGTGAACAAAGCACGCCCATACCCACGGGATAGACGGAGGGTGGGGAGGGGGAGCCCATGGGTGCGCGTTGTACGGGCATGGGCGTGCGTTGTTCGCCCATCAAGAGGCGCGGGTCGAACCTCGACCCGAAGGGCCCTCTGAAGGAGTTGTTCAACAAGGGCTCCGTGAACACCACCCGCACCCTCCTCGCCATCGCCCATGCAGCAACCCAGCATGCCTCGGGCTACGAGTCGTCGGACGAAATGGCTGTGCAGGTGGGGATATCGAAGAATGCAGCCAGCGCATCACTAGTGTCGTGCGGTCCATCTGCGCCCGCGTTGCCAAGGCTGAGCAGGACGACTTTGTGTGGCCTCGCGGGTGCCTCGTTGAGGCCGACGAGGCGTCAATGCGCGCTTGCCGCGTGACTTGCCCGCGAGATTGTTGTGATACGACGTGCGGCGAGCACCCTTTTGGGCGTTACCGCATATTACATCACCGATTCATGTGCGTGTGTCCTCGGGGACAGCGCCAACTGGCGATGTTTTTCGAGCTGCCCCAGCGGACCTGCGCCGCTGGGGGAAGCGGCGTTTCACTCAGTGGGCCCGAGTGCGACGAGATCCTCTCTTGGGTTCTCGTGCCTGGCAATTTCACGCTTTTGACGGATGGCGCGGGCGCGTGCCAGTCCGTAGCACCGAAAAGCCGTGCTGCTTACAGCGACAAGAGCAAAGACCCTCCTCGTTTCAATGCTGACCGCTTCAAGCTGCATTATAAGCATCTGAAGCTATCGCACGGCATAGTTTCTCACGATGCAGAACAGTGGGCCGTCGTCGACCGCGTGCGCGTCGTGCGCCCGAACGGGCGCACCGAGACTCTTCATTTGGAAAAAGGCACGCAGTGTTGCGATGGCCTCTGGCCTGAGATGCGCGACAGCATCCCAGACAGCGTCCACACTTCAGACTGGGAGCGTTGCCGCTCGTACTTGTGGGCTTGGGTGTGGCGCATGCGGAGGTCAGGCAACGACCTGCTCCAGGAGTTTGGCCAGTCTGTTCGCAGGGAGAGAGGCTGCATGCATTAAGTCGCCAAATCAGAGCGCGCAGCCCGCCCAAGTGCAGAAGGCGCAGGCTGCGACCTCTCGCGTGCAGTTTTGTCGGCGCCTTGCTTCTCCGCAGCCCGCCCATGTGCAGAAGGCGCAGGCTGCGACTGTTCACGAGCAGATTTTGTCGGCGCCTTGCTTCTTCTAGAAAAAACACCAAAACCGCCCAGGCCTACATCGGGTCTGCTTTCGGAGGAGGAGGAGGAGGAGGAGGAGGAGGAGGAAAGACGCCAACATAGCAGCGCTGCGCAGGCTCCTGGGGCCCCAGGCGGGCCAGGTGGCCAGCGCAACGAGAGGCCCAGCGGTCGGCAACGCGCGCGCGCGACGAGGCCACCTCCACCCATTGCTCTCCCCCGGCTCCGCGCGCGCGCGGCTCCGCGACCGCCCCCCCTCTCTCTCGCTCTCCTCGCTCCCTTGCCCTCTCCTCGCCTCGCTCCTCCTCGCGTCTCCCTCTATCTCTCTCTCTCTCTCTCTCTCTCTCTCTCTCTCTCTCTCTTTCTCTCTCTCTCTCTCTCTCTCCTTTGGCCCCTCCCTTCCCCCTATGGGGGGGGTGCTCGGGTTCTATCCCTTGCAGTCGAGCCCGGGCCCGAGCCGCCGAACTGTGCCCCTGGCGCGCGCTGCGCCGCGCCTGTTGAGCCCCCCCCCATTCCGCCTCCTCACTCGTCGGCGCTCTTCCCTCGCTGGCAACTCCCTGCTGGGCTGGGCCGACCCTCCCTGCTCGCTCTCGGCTCCTCGCCGGTCGCTTCTCGGTTCTCCCTTCTCGATCCTCTCGCAAGGACCCTTCTTCTCCCTCTCCCTCTCTCTCTCTCTGTCTCTATCCATCTCCTTTTCTCTCTCTCTCTCTCTCTCTCTCCCTCCCTCCTCGATTCTCCCTACTCTCAATTCTCCCTCGTCTCGATTCTCCCTCCTCTCGATTATCCCTCCTCTCCTCTTCCTCCTCGGTTCTCCCTCTCGACTCTCCCTCCTCGAGCCCTCTCGGTTCTCCCTCTCGCTCGCTGACGCAGCAGGCTGCGTCAGCAAGCGCATATGCAGCGACAGGAAGCACCCTACGGCATCGACCACCAGCAGGCAAGCAGAACGCACCGCACCGGAAAGCAACCAACGACAGCGGCGGCACACAATGACATCAAGCAACGGCAGCACGCAAGAGCCACACCCCCACACAACATGATCGACATTTGCAGCAGAGAACACCAACCATCAGCAACCGGGAGGGAGCGGCTGCGAGCGGACAGGCGAACCTTAAAGCGAACATCACGTTAAGCAGACGACCCAGTTCAACACAATCCAGTTACCAGGCTAGCAACCAGTCATGCAGAACGTCAGTCTATCAGACACGCAGGCAAGGGTTCCTTGCCCTTGCCCGCGATGTAACGTGCGCGCGTGGAGGGCCCACGAGCCAGCCTTAGTCAGCTACGCCTCTGGCATCAGCGCCTGCGAGAAGGGTCTTCAGTGGCAGCAGGCGCTGTCGCTGCTCAGTGAGATGACGGAGGCAGAGATGGAGCCCGCCCTCGTGATTCACAGCGCTGGGATAGTCGCATGCGAAAAGAGCGGGCAGTGGCAGCATGCTGTGGCCCTGCTCGGCGAGGCGCGGCGATCAGACTTGGCTGTTGACGCCGTCAGCTACACCTCTGGGATTGGCGCATGCGTGAGCGCGTGTGCGGCTGGCGAGCAGTGGCAGCGGGCTGTGGAGCTGCTCGTGGATATTGACGAGATGTGGACGGCAAGATTCCAGCGCGGCGTCTTTCATAACGCAGGAGTGCGCAAGGGCCACATGTTTTGGGTGTCCTCGCTCTTGCTTACCGTTTCTTCGAAGTTTGGCCCAGGATGAGGGGGAGACCAGACGAGCACGTTGGAGGAGGAGGGCTCCTCCTTCTCGATCCTCCACCTCCCCGAACCCCCAATCGCAAGGCCCGAGAGAAAGCCGAGGCAGATTCAAACGAAGAAGAGGGGGGCCTGTCGGTGCCAATGGGGCGAGGAAGGGATTCGTCTCTGAGGCTAACAGATGTCGCTTGGATGGGCCCCCCCAGGACTCTGTCTCTCTTCCTTTTGCTCCCTATCTGCGTCCCCGTCCTCCTCCCCCTGCTCCTTCCCCAGGGCCGTTTCTCTTCCCTCCTCCTTCTGCTCCGCCCCGCGCGAGCGGCAGCCGCTGTCGTCGCCGTCGCCGTCGCCAGTCGTGCCGCTGCGGGCGTCCCCTCGCCTGTCGTGTAGTCGTCGCCGTCGCGATCGCGGCCGCCGCCGTCGCCGCTGCCGCCTGGGGCTGCCTGCTTTTCTCGACCTTGGCCTGGTCCCCCTTTTGGGGCGCGCGCGGGGGGCCAACCTGGAACCCTAAAGTCCTAGAGCTCTCCTCCTCTTCCTCCCTCCCCCCCTTCCAGCCGCCTCCTCTCCCCTTCCCCCCCCCCTCCTCTCCTCCTCTCCCTCTTCCTCCCTCCCTCCTCTCCTCCCCCTCCCTCCCTCCTTCCTCCCCCTCCTCTCCAAACCCGCCCCTGCGCACCCCTGCGCGGGGATCCCCCCCCCCGCCGCTGGCCTTGGCCCGCTTGCCGGGGGAGGAGGCGCCCGGGCGAGCCCGTGGCGCGCGGGGAAGGGCGCCCCTCCCGCGCGCGAGGGGCCGCCGCTCCTCAAACGACGCGAAGATCGGGACAAAATCGGATCGGGATAACGTTTTAGTGTATGTGTTTTTTTGCTCTGGTTGCATCCCGTCCCCACGCACGGCTTTAGCTTGAAACGGGGAGCTCTACACGACGGGGTCGATGCACGTGTAAAGGCGTGCGCCCGTGGAGTAATTGCATCACATTGCCTGATTCGAGTTCTGCGCGTTTCACTCTGACGCTGGGCGGGTGGATTATTGTCAGGTGGCTGCGTTCTCCTTCTCCATAGAAGAAGAAAAAAATACAAAAAACGGATCGGGGTAACTCGAA